AAAAAAAAAAAAAAAAAAAAAAAAAGAAAGAAAGAAAACACAAATGATACTAATTAAGACACTATACATTAAGGTTTATGTCAAGATACTATAACAACTGTGTGAAAATCTCAATGCCCAGAAAGACCTTCTAGTTACAAATTAGAATATTAGAGCCAGTAAAAACAAACGCCTTAAGGAATTACTAAAGCTAGAGCAGGCTGCAAAATGATATATTGTACATCTCTCAACCTGAGTTGAGTATTAAATCTGCTTATATAATAAAAAGCTTAAAGGAGAGGTAGGAGAAAAACTATTATAGCATTTATCCTGTTTTTGAGAAAAACAAACAAACAACTGACTGTGTGGCCCAGAATGGCCTCCACTAACGAGCGTCCTACCTCAGCCTCGCAGCCCCAAAGCCTAGGAGTGCCACAAGCTTGTGTAACCATGCCTAGGTTGTTCATTCTTTCTAAAGAGAAAAACCCTAGCCGAATGTGGTGGCACATACCAATCATCACAGCACTCTGGTAGCTGAGGCAGCAGAATCAGTTCAAGGTCCTTGGCTACAAAGCTAGCTTGAAGCTAGCCTGAGCTATATGAGACACCATCTAGAGAAAGTGGGAGCTAGACAGATGGCTCAGTGGTTAAGAATACCTGCTGCTCTTGCAAAGAACCCAGGTTCATTTCCCAACACAGACATGTCAGTTCACAACCATCCTTAACTCCAGTTCTGGGGATCTGATGCCTTCTTCTGGCCTCTGCAGACACCATGAACACACATGGTGCCACAGTGTGTATACATTCAGATATACATACATACATACACACACACATGTACATGTGTATGTGAACACTCACACACATAAAGTAAATAAACATTGGGGGAAAAGGTCAAGCTTTACACATGTGCAGCAAAATATTAACAGCCAGTTAAAAAACTATGAAAACAAAGAAAACTAACATACAGAGAACTGTAAAAATCTTCCACAGATGCTGGGCAGTGGTGATGCAAACCTATAATCTCAGCAAACAGGAGGAAGAGGCAGGTAGATTTATGTGAGTTGGAGACCGGTCAGGTCTACACAGTGAGTTCCAGGTCAGTCAGGGCCACATAGACCCTATTTTAAAAACTAAAAATCGGGGCTGGAGAGATGGCTCATAGGTTAATGGTACTGGCTGCTCTTCCAGAGGTCCTGAATTCAATTCCCAGCAACCACATGGTGGCTCACAACCACCTGTAATGAGATCTGGTGCCCTCTTCTGGTATGCAGGCACACATGCAGATAGAGAACTATATATATAATAAATAAATCTAAAAAACAAACAAACAAACAAAAACTCATTAAAAAAAAAAAAAAAAGAAACTTCCATAGAAAATGATGACCACAGTACTGGGCACTGTAGCGGAGGTTGTAATCTGCACTATGGAATGAGGCTGGCTGAGGCAGGCAGAGTTCAAGCAACATAGTGAGAAACTGTCTTCAAAACTCCAAAAAAAAAAAAAAAAACAAAAAACCTAAACAACAAAAACACGACCCAAAACAAAACAATTAAAACCATACTCAACTTACCAGTGAAATTTTGACGGAAATTTAATGTACACTACAACTAAAAGTACACATCATTCATTCACCTCCTCTTGATCTGCCAAGAGTCATAATCTGACAAACTTACCTCACTAGCCTCTGTCTTAGTCACACTGCTCTGAGACGCAATTTCACTGCCTTCGAGCTCGAGGTTTTTCTCTTCTTTTGCACCTGTATTCACATTAAAAACACCATTGCTTTAATCAGGATGTGAGGAATGAACTAAAATTAAAACTTTTCTTAATGAATATAATTGTACTGACTGGCTTTTCTGTCAACACAAGCTAATCTATCTGGGAAGAGGGAGCCTCAGCTGAGAAAATGTCTCTATCAGACTAGCCTGTGGGGCATTTCCTTGATTGGTAATTGATGCAGGAGGGTCCAGGCCACCATGGGAAGTGCCAGCCCACCATGGGAAGTGCCACTCCTGGGCAGTTGGTCCTGGTTGTATAAAAAGGCAGACTGAGCAAGCCATGGAAAGCAGATGAGTATGCAGCATCCCTCCATGGCCTATGCTTCAGTTCCTGCCTCCAGGCTCCTGCCTTGACCTCCCTCAATGACGGACTGGTGATCGGAAAATGTAAACCAAGTAACACTCCCTAGCCCAGGCTGCTTTTGGTCAGTGTTTTACACAGCCCAGAAAGGAAACTCAGAGAGGAGTAATGGAACAAGGAAGAACTCACAGCTAAGAGATGGGGGGGGGGCGCTACAGAACCTCAAGAAAACACCACCACACCGTAGCACTACAAACTGCTACTAGCAACAGCTTACTCTACTGAATCCGCTGCCTCAAATTCCCTCAGTTAAGGAAAGTTTGTCAGCAACTACCCAAGCTCCTGGAGGTCCTGCCCTGTGCTTTAGACAGTCCTGCTGCTTGGAGGGGCTCTACAGACCTGCTCTTTTGGTGATGCGGAGCAGCCTCTTGGCCCCAGGAATAGCCTCCGCTTGAGGCCGGGAGCTGGCACTGCTCTCCGAGCTTCGCTGTCCCCTCAGGGCCTTCTCCAGTTTGATCTCCTCTAGCGTCTTGATGTGCACCTCCTGCATGGACCTGGCTCTTCCCGCAGGCTCCTCTGCCTGTCCTTTGCTGACAGCAACAGGTAACAGACTCCCAGTCTTCTTCACATCAGGATCTGCTGTCGACTTGGGGCAACCTGTATCCTTTTTGGGTTTCTGTCTCTCCATTTCCTGCTGCCGATGTTTCTTTTCAGCCAGGACCTCAGAGAAGGTTTTGATCCGCACTGAGGAAGAGCTTTTGGTTCCTGATGGAGACTCATCAGTCCGGGAAGGCTCTTCTGTCTTCAGTTTAGTTTGTAATTCTCCACGTTTCTGACTGGCTCTTTCAAGAAGAATTTCTTCCAATGTCTTCACGTGGATCTCACCAGCTTTGTTAACTCTCTCTGTTCGGGGAAGGAACATATATTTACATTCTTGTTTCTCAATGACTTAGGATCTCTCTAAGAGTAGAAAATACAGGGAGAGGCATCAGTTGCCTCATGCACAGCATCAGGTTCACTCTCAATTGTAGACAACCGCAAGAAAATCTCTAGAGACAAACCTACTGATTAGTATTTCTATCCAGAAATACAACACACAAATGGCTGAGAATCATTTCTCAATGGAGAAACCTGCACCATTATAAACCTTAAGTAAAAGGAGCAATGAGTCCTCCATTCACTCCTATGTATATAAAACTTGCGCTGGACCCATGGCTAGAAACGGTACGAAGCCAAGCATCCCTGTGCCCAGGTGTGGTCTATAGTCTGCCAAACCCGAGTAACTAAATGAGCTGTCGGCAAGTCCGGCAATGGAAACCACTGTCTAGGAACTGGTCAAAGCAAACTTTTCATGAAGTGACATTTAAAACAGGAAAAGAGGGAAAACAAAACTGGTGACAAGACAAAAAATAAACAAAACCCAAAGGCCACAAATCTGACCTGCACCCCCAGACCTCAAAAGATCATTCTACAACTGTTTAAAACAGGGAACAAATGTCACATGAGACAATCATTCTCATTACTGGAGGGCCAAGAAAAGAAATAATGAACTCATGTAGAATTAAAAGAGAGAGCGGGGGAGGATTTGCCCTGGAGGAGGTGGGAATCGGGGGTGGGCTGGGGGTAAGGGGAGGGGTGGGAAGGGGGAGAATAGGGGAACCCGTGGCTGATATGTAGAACTGAATGGTATTGTAAAATAAAATAAATAAAAATAAAAAAAAGAGAGAGAGAGATGATACCATGCATGTACAACATACACAGACTAACCAGTAAGAGATTTTAATTAAAATTCAAAAACAAACTACACCCCAAGCTCCTAAATATAGCCTGTTCTGGAACTCTCTGTATCCCCACCACCACCACCACCACCAGTCTCATTTCTGTCCGTGTCCCTGTCTCTCTGTAACTCATACTGGCCTACAAATCCCTGATATAACATAGTCCAAGTTAACCCCAAGTTTATAGGTGTGAACCACTACTTCTGGGGCTCTTGTTTAAACAGAGTTTATTTAAAGGGTCAATCTTAAGTCAGCTCAGTTTGGATTCTCACCCTCCAGTCCAGTGAGTTTCTCTGGTGATACCATGATAAGAGTCCTGGAACTGCCAGAACCTCCAAACATACTGGATGATGCTTTCTGAGATCAATGATGAACCACAGAGCAAAGTACTCACGACAAATTAAGTAATCAAATAGTGAATTATCTCTTTATGTTTCCAGTGAGTGAGTCTTTTGTGATAGGGTCTTGATATACAAGTGACCTCAAACTCACCCACCATTGTTCTGTCTCGGTTTATGAGTACTGAGATAAAGAGCTACCACAACTTCCTTCTCATTAGATTTTCAAAATGATGGTGGGGCTGTAGAGATGGCTCAGTGGTTAAGGTTCCATTCCCAGCACCCACATGGCTGCTCACAACTATCTGTAACTCAAGTTCTAGGGTATCTGACACCCTATTCTGACCTCTACAGACACCAGGCATACATGTGATGCACCTATACACAAGCAGACAATTCATACATGTAAAATAAATAAATCTGAAAAAAAGAATTGCAATTGTAGTTTTTTCTTCCATTTCACAATGACAAGCTAATCTCAAAATAATCAAAGAAAGTACATGGTTAATGGTGAATTGGAGACTTGTTTCTCATCCCTACCAAAATATCATTGAAATTATAAAGACATTAAAAACAGAATTAATCTACACTAATAATGAGAAAAGAAGAATGCCACGATAGAGTAATCTTTAAGAATTTCTGTGGGGAATCTATTTCAGTAGATATGTTTAAACAGTAGATGTAACTCTAAAAGAACAGTCAATCACTATTCTCCTCATCAGCACAGTAAACTGCCGGGCCTAGGTTAACCAATATGAGAAGGAACAGTGAACAACGGAGAAATCATTAGGGTAGAAATGGAAGGACTAGGGTAGAGGATACACCTCACTGAAGAATGCCTGCCTAGCATGCATAGGACCTGGCTTGATTTCCAGCATCTCAAAAACAAATACAGAAACAGAACTAAGCAAGCAAGCAAACAAGCGAAAATCCCAGATTCAGTGGAAAACTCCAGAGCAGCCTAAGAAAAATTAAGCTGTTAAGGGAGGGAGGGGGAAAGGGAGGGAGACCAGAACAAAAATCTTTTGAAGACAAATGCCAAAATAAACTCATTTGAAAAACTAAGTAATGAAAAAGACAACGTTAGTCTACAACTAGCCATTCAGGATAAGCGAACTATAGCCCACAGGCCAAATCTGGCCATACAGTGTCCTTGGAACACAGCCACTCATTCATTTACATATTCACGTTACATATGGCTGCTTTCACACCACAGTGGCAGAACTGAGTAACTGTGACAGAGATTGTGGACTACAAAGACTAAAATATTTTTGTTTTTAAGGGTAGTAAGGATCAAACTGAGGGCACCACCATGCTAATCAAATACTCTAGCACTTAGCTACTTCAAGCTTCAACTATTTACTACGTGGACTTAGAACAAAAAAAGCCAAGTTAGATTCAAAGGGTCCATTGAATCCCTGGCTTGCCAGCCAAGTGTGTTTACATCCACTACAGTGAAGTAATAGTACATCAATCAGGGAGACAGAAAACCTTAAAACATTCTGGAGATTAAAGCTAAGAATGATAACTCACATCTGTAATCCCACCAGCATCTGGGAGGCTGTGACAGGAAGGTTGCCAAGAATTTGAGGCCAGCCTGGACTACAGACCTGAGATCTTGTCTTAAGGAAAAGTGGTGGTGGTTGTTTTCTTACAGGAAAGTAAGAAGCTCAACATCAGACTCTCTCTTAAGGATGCTAGCATAGAATGATACAGAAATCAGCTATGGTTGGATTGAGAAAGCCCAGAGATACAAAATTTAAAACTCTTTTATAGAAACTATCACATCAAATCCTGAATAGCATTAAGCAAAGCTGGGGGCTAAGAGTGCATGGAAGATCAGCTGCCTGGCATGTGTGAAGCTCTAGATTCGAAACTACAGCACCACAAACAACAACAACAAAAGCAGAGTATGTGAACATATGGATATTCACTTTATATACATGCTTGTTCCCACTATTAAACACAACTATAATTTACAGGAAGAACCTAAGAATATAAAGAAATGATTTTCTTTCTTTTTTTTAGACAGGGTCTCTACATAGCCATGGCTGTCCTGGAACTCACCGTGTAGGCCAGGTTGGCCTCAAATTTACTAAGATCTCCCCACCTGTTTCCCAAGTGCTGGGATTACCAACACACACACACACACACACACACACACACACACAC